TGCAAGAAGGATGGAACAGAATCAACCAACAACGAATCATCAAGCACACCAAGACGATTCTTCATCATCGACTCATCAACAACATTTGAACCACAACGGTATTTCATATCGGAACAGCCTTCTACAACAACCAACCGCATACCCCCAACCATCACTGATAAACAATGGACAATTTTATCATCCTTTGCACCCTCCTACTACGATGATGCAGCAACAACAAGGCTTTTCTTCTTTCAATAATTTTAATCTTCCAATTCCCTATCCTCTTCAACCACCCGTGATGTTGTATCCATACAATTCCAACACATCCAATTACCCACCTACATCGGGTTTGATGGGTTCTCATCCTCATCATCAGCTCTTCTTTCCTCCAAATCCTTTCAACCAAATTCCTCAAAATGTACCACAGCCAAATCCCCAACAACAACCACAACTGGCTCTTTCCAAACCACTTTCCAACAACACACTAGAAGAAGAAAATAATTTGATGCACTCTACATTGCAGCAAAAGACTATTCTTTCAGCCTCGGAGCAGCTCATTGTGGAGTCCATCAAATTATATCAACTGCAAAATCAACTCTATTTGAATCAAGTATCACATGCAAAAGACTATGAATACCATCTCTTGAAAGTATCAAATGATTTAGAGAATATTAAATCACTCCATGAAGAAGTGAAGGAACTGAAAGAAGAAATTGCAAAATTAACTCGAAAGAAAAACAAATTATTGAAAAAGACCAACCTTGTGGATGAAGAAACGAAAATGGATGAAGAAAATGATCAACAGGAAAGTTTAGAAGATGCCCAATTAGATGAAAAGGTAACGAAATTGTTAAACGGTAATTACGAAGCTATGAAGACCACTCGACACTATGGACTTGCTTTTCAAAATTCTTCGTTTTTGCTGAACTCGGGCCAAAACAGTAACAATATTCCAATCATTTATAATTCCATGCAAGGAGTAACTGCCACCACTAACAACCATCAACAACCTTTGACTGATGCAAACGTAATCATGAATGATCGTGTCAGATCTCCTCCTGTTGCAGCCACCACCACTTCGTTGCCATCATCAGTACGTACCGATCCACCTCCTCAAATCTCCTCAATTTTATCAAACTCCAACATTGCCACTACAACTAATGTCCATAATAATAATAACAATCATAATACAACTGAAACTACAGCCTCAACTCATGATGAACCATTAAGAAATGGAGATTCACATCATGATTCACCAGCAATAAGCATTACAAACTCGAGCTTACGATTTACAAGCAGTACTACTCATCATCATGGTACTGTGGAATCCATCGCAACAACAACAAATTCTGTGTTAGAAAAGAGGTCTAGGACAAATGACACATCATCTTCAGTACTCAAGAAAAAGAAAGTAATAGAAGAAATTGTAGAGGTTGAGGATCAAAATGATTCCTATGAAACAAAGTTTCCTCTGTTTGCCAATCATGGCCCAAAGAAGCTTAAACCATTTAAGAGTCCTTCTAAAAGATTCAAATACCTATCATATTACAATCTCAATATATTAAGGATGATGATACTCGTCATCCTTCGAAGGAGGAAGTCTTTGAAGATGCAACTTTAAAGAAACACACTTCATCAACGACAAAAAAGATGTTATTCAAATGAAAAGAAGCAAGAAATTGAAAAGCAAAAGAAACAACACTTGAAAAATCGATACAAAGATGAAGAGTATTTAGTGTTGCCAAAACCCACACAACCACTTTCTGTTCATCGAGAAGAAGAAGAACATCAAGAGAATGAACAAGACATTACGATTGAAAAATCACCCACCCTCCATCGACCACCATTGGTTGTGAATTTAGTAGAGGATGGAGGACATTCTCTAGTTGGAGATGACATTTTGTACATGTCTCTAGGACTTGGAGGTAATAAGAAAATGAAACAAGAAGAAAAAGAACAACAACCAAATACAACTGTTCCATCTCCTTCATTGAACAATAGAGTTCATGCCTCAAACTCTGCATCAAAGGTTGGAGCTTCTTCTTCACCTCCAAATTATACAAATTTAACAACCATGAGAGTTCATTCCAACAAACCAACTTGTACAAGCAGCAGTCATGAAAAGAACACACCAACTGGATCCAAGCAAGCAATTGCTTCTCCTCTAATGACATCTTCTCACCTCAATAGTGAAGACGAAGAAGAATATTCAAAATATTTCAAATCTCCAAAACACAAAAAGAGACATGCAACACCAGGACATGATTGTGAAGAATGTCGAGCATTCTATGATGCTGCTTTTCCCAATGATGAGAAACGAAAAAATAGAATTATCAGAGAA